CTAAGAATTATTCTAAAAAAAAAAAAAAAAAATAGAAATTTAGAGTTTTCTAGCACTTAGATTTTATTCTCTAAAAATTGGATAGTCTCTATTCGACCTTGAGACATTATTTTTTTCAAGTGTATAGAGGGTGCAATTATAATTTTTTTTATTGAAGTTAATCTATGAGTTGAAAACGTTAATATTCCCAAAATTTTGGATAGTAAAATTAATTCTAGATGGGGTTTTAATCGGATAAATTTTTTTGACTTCAGTAGTTTATTCATTTACCAATTACTATTGTCTTCACAATCAGTCTATTGAAGGGTGGGGATTTTTCCCTACCCATTAAGCCAAAGAGAAGAAGGCTACGCCCCATTGAGCGTTGGCGCGTCTCTAAAGTCATATGGTCACTCGTTCAAAATCCATCTTCCAAATGGATCGACAATAAAAAAACTCGATAGATTATGAATCTTGACCTCCACAATCATGAATTCGAATTAAAAAATAATATAGATTAGATAAAAAAAATTATCTTGTATGTGTTAGACTGTTTATTTCGATTATTCATAGATTACATGTAGAAATGAATTTGCAATAATTTTGAAATAAAGCATGCAAATGCACTCGATACGTTCCTGAGCCCACCTCACAAGAATTATTGTATCTTGAGGGTGAGGCTAGGTGAGTCCTGATGTCTGCGCTTCCCAAATCTATCTCTGCTTTTAAAGCCCATATTGGCGATGATGAATCGGGGATCCAAAACTCCATACATTAGTCATCCTGACCGCCATGAGCATGAATCTAGAAAAGAAAAATGAAAATGGGTTATTTTATTTTATTTTGGGACCATTCCCTTAAATTCTTCGCACATCATCATAGATGTGTTATTTTTGGAGCTCTAAATTCATGGACTTGAGGTGAAAACTAATTTTCCATATTTTAGTTATTTTTCAACCATTTATTTTAATTATTCGTGCTTAATCATATCTTGAGCTCCAAATTCATGGATTTGATATCAAAAGAGATTTGCAAGATTATATATAT